GGGGGAATTCGGGGCAGAGAGATGGAAGGAGGGGCAGCCGGAGGGGGGGTAGGGCGGTGGTGTGGAAGGAGGGGCAGGGATGAGTGAATGCAGGGCACAGAGAAGGGGGAAGAGTGAGGGAATTTGTAGCAGCGTTGGAGGAATGCGGGGGGGAGAGAGGGGGAAGTGGTGCAGAAAGACGGAATTTGGGACAGAGACGTTGAGGGAGGGGCACCCTGGGGGAAGGAGGCGCTGCGAGCAGGAAGGTGGGGCTGCTAGCGGGAAGGAGGGGCATAGAAGGGGGGCAGCGGGGAGATGAGGTGCGATTTGATGCACCTAACTACTAGACCACCTCGCCAGCCCCACCCCTCTCCCGCCCCCCTCCCTGACCCATCCCACCGGCCCCACACAAACCCTAAACCGATACCCTTACTGCATCCCGTACGTGCAGACGCTACAAGATTCTCAAGGCAGTGACTCCTGCGTCTTTGCTGAGACTCCCATCCGCATGGGCGTACTTCACCACGACGGCCTGCTTCTCAGCGTCGGAGCATCGTGCCATGATGCAAGTGCTGCCCCTCATCATCGACCTCCCCAAGCGCGCCGATATTCGACATGCCATCACGCTCATGTCGGACTGGTACAAGGAGTTTATCCGGGCTGAGTATCACACCGATGCCACGCTTGAGCGCATGGAGGAGGTCTCCTGCGAGTAAGTATAGCGTGAATGGGTGTGGGTGCCATGCGCATAGGGAACGAGGGACAGTGAGATGGCTGTACGGATCGAGGGAGGGATTAAGAGGCAGTGCGTGGGAAATAGGGTGCAGAGAACGGGGGAAAAAGGGAAAAGATAAGGAAATGGGGTAAAAGCGAGGGAAAGAGGGGACGAGGGAGGGAAAGAGGGGACGAGGGAGGGAAAGAGGGGACGAGGGGGGGAAAGAGGGGACGAGGGAGGGAAAGAGGGGACGAGGGAGGGAAAGAGGGGACGAGGGAGGGAAAGAGGGGACGAGAAGGGAAAGAGGGGAGGGGGGGGAGGGAACGATAGGCTGTGGACTGTTCCGCATGCGCTGAAAAAGGGAAGGAGGGGCATAATGACGAGAGGAGGGGCTTAGAGTGGGGGAATGGAGTGGCAGAAACATGGAATCTGAGTTGTGAGTGGGTGGGGGGGGGGGGGGGGAGATGAGAGGAGGGGGGAGGGTTTGAGAGAGGGTAGTAGTACACGAACCCGGGTATGGGGCATTGTATGTTGTTTGTGGCTGAATTGTTGTTTATATGCTTACGCACGCTAAACCGATCCCCAACACCCAATTCCCCAATTCTGAACCTTTCAATCCACCCAAACACGTCCTATCCAGGATGGTCGATGCGCTTGTTCTAGCATTCAACAACCAGAAGTCGAAGTGGCTTATTATCAAGGTGCATCTTGTATCGCACCTCCCGCCAACGATCCGTACACGGGGATTGCCACAGGAGTACTCGTCGAACCGGTACGAGCAGTCCCACAAGACAACAGTGAAGCGCCCTTCTCGCGGCACCAACTGGAAGGGTGTGGAGGATCGCATTGTGAAGAAGCATATCGAGCAAGCCGTTGTTCGACAGCTGTCTCGAGCCTCCGGCGGGGACAAAACATACGAGACAGCCATGAAGGAGGTGAGCCTGTGTACGACCTAAGGCCAATCTTGCCCACCAATGTTCCCCGCCTGCTCCTGCCGCATGAAACCCTCATCACCTCGTGTTTTTGTTTAGACCCTGCCTCTTCCCTTCCTCCCGCTGCCCCCCTAGACATCCCTTCTAGCATCCACGTTCTCACCATCATGTCCACCCATGAAATGCCTCTACCGCTGCCCCCCTTGACATCCCGTTTTGCATCTACATGCTCGCATTCTTGTCCACCCATCGCTCCTTCCACTAGCTGCCACCCTTCACAATCCGTCTTGCCCCACATGCTTTCCCACTTAACCACCCATGCCCCTCCCCCGGCCCCCGTGGGACTATCCGTCGTTCAGCCCCCAATGCTCCCCTACTAATCCACCATATACCTTCGTGCTGCTAAACACGTCGCCCCCTCGGTTCCCCCCCCCCCCCCCCCTCCATCCTCCTCCATGCACATCCCCGGCACTTCCCATTCCCACCTGCCGTTTGTCTTTCCTTTGCTCTCCCTTGATCTACACTTGTCCACCTATGCTCCCTCCTCTTGTTGCACCCTTTGACCTCTGGAACTGCCCCGCTATACTAACCGTCTGGTCCCTAATCTTTGCTCCCTCTCACTGCTGCCCCTGTTGTACTCAAGTGCTGCCCCTCTCCTGCTGCCCCCCATGTACACCATGCACCCATCACCCTCCTACCCAGGCTTGCACGCTTGGGCGTCGGGTGCTGACTAAGACACACAAGAAGATGACCGTGGGGCAGATCACGGATGATGTGTTCAGGAGCTATGTCCTTGTTCACGGAGATGAAGCGATGGGCTACTTGAAGAAGCGGCTGGCCAGGGAGGGAATTCACGACCAAGTGCTCAATGTGAGAACCAATATGGTGCTCAATGCGGGAGAATCAATGTGAGAATCAACTGCCACTGCCACGTAGACCTGTTAAACGCGGACCATCAACCTCCTTAATGGGCCGAACCCAGGCATGGCACCCTGTTGTATCCACGCACCCGTCAGCACCCCATTGTCTCAACCCTAACACAAACTTCCATTGTTGTGCTGCAACCCCTGCTTGCCTATTCGCAGGTGCACACTGCCAGGGCAATCCCACCGCACGACAGGATGGAGTGGACCGAGAAGGGCCAGTTTGTCAAAGCAAGCCCTTCCGACAGGCACTTTTCAGATGTTGCCATAAATCCAGCTGGCAAAGGGGCCAACTGGTACGGCCGCTGCTTGATGCTGTTCCATTACGTGAAAGATGGCGTGGCAAAAAAAGCCGCCTACATCGAGTACTACACCGAGGATCGGCGAGTCTGCCGGTACACTGGCTGCAAACGACTGTTGCCCACAAAGGGCACCTTCAATTATGCAGTTGTAGATGCAGATTGCATTCTCAGCATCGTGCATGTTGTCCCGTGCTGCAAAGACCCTGCTGTGAAGCTGCTCAATAGGTTCATCTGGTGATGCAAATAAATTAGCAACTATTTCAATTTACCATAACCTTCATTAATTGTGAAACACGCTTTTAAGCCACCTTACTATTGTCTCGACAATTAACATCTAACAAACATTGCATTGTAACACCGCGAAACCATTACTAAAACATCACCAAAACGTTTGGTCTGACAAGAATGCTATACAAACGATTCGTAAATGATTCCTGGATGATTGTCAAACGATTTACAGAAGCTCACTTAAAAAAAAAATGGTCAGATGATTTCCAGACGCACACATTTTTGTGATGAATGCGCTAAGGTTAGAAGTGCCTACTGCTAACAGCAATGCGTTATGGCAGCAACTCACAGTGACGCAACATTTGGAAATGCCTATCGCGGGAGGGTATCGTGAGGAGAACCTCAACTGGTATAAGCGTGACGTTCTTGGTGCTCTTCGCCTTAAGGTCTCGTGGTCTCAACTACCGCCGCGAGAGATGGCACAGCATGTTCCTTTAACGAAAACCTCCCATGAAGTCACGTCGTGCTGGAGTTCCACGCCTTCTTCAGCTCCTGTACCAGTTCTGGGATCGCAGCAGCCCAGCTGCCCTAGAAGTTGCAAGGTATGTGCTGGCAGTATGTGAGTGTTCACAAGCTTGGTCTTAGTAGGAGACTTGTTGGGCTGGAACGTCGTTTTGCCAGCAATCCTATATCTGCATTGTACTAAAAGCGTGATACTAGGATGTATTTTCGATCGCGTGAATGTCAACATCAGAGCTAGACTAGCCGCAAAAAAATCTATGTCACAAAAAATCAATGCCACAACAGCAAACAGGCAGCGCAAAATTCAAATACACGTGTAGGACGATCCGTGCCTACTCCAACTCATCGCGCTTTGAGAACGACTCTAATCTGTTGCCCTTGAACCATCGTTGCAATATCGAAAACAAGGATGGGCGTTACAAGTGCGTTGTATAACAACCCAAATATCATCTGGTTTGCTTTTCTACCAAACTCCAGGTACCGTACTTGTGATTGGATCTGGACTAACATACAAGTCACGCATTTAGGGATAACCCTCAACCACAGAAAGAACCCTACCAAGAATTCAAACTCCAAAAAACGTCGTAATGTGTCACAGAGGGCGCCTTTATGAAGCTGCCATGAACAGTGAGAAAGGTGATACCGTGGTATATTGTCATATGCAACATCACCAAGATACCAGGGGACTGGAGTTTCACATACACCAAATGGCTGCTAAGTGTAAGCACGATTCAAATCAAGTCTTGCTCTGGCATGCAACATCCCATATTCAGCCTAGTTGGAAGAGATCAGCAGAGTGTTTCTTGATTGTAGGGGTACTATGCATTCAGCAAAGGAGGATAGAGAAGTTGCGTTGTGTCTGTTGTGCAACCTTACGAGTCACATGCGGCACGCTGTGTGTTGACATGTTCTAGTACCGTATAACCACACACCGTTTTTGTATGCCGTGCCTCTTGAAGGCATGCTGCTGTCCAACCCACCTTCAGCCATCCATTCATTGCATGCATGCATGGTTCGGTGGGACACCACTCCATACTGCCCACTCCACTCCAGGTCCTCAGCACCATGACATGACACACACCTTTCAGGATAGTAGCATAATAACTAGGCCATCTGTCATTATACTCAGCTAATCTCATGTCTAGTGCTAGATTATGCAGCCCCTATCCAACACCGAAGGTGGCTAAGAGCATCACACAGCCTGAATAGAGGTGCATGCACTATCATAGAAACACAACCACTTAGCCAAATCTTTACGATATTGCCGCCTCCACTGTCTTGGCGTCCCGACCAAGTTGCACGCATTCAGACTACTGAATTTGGATTCGACGAGAGTATGAGTGACTCGCATTACATAAACACCGCAGTCATTATCGTTGTCTTGCTGTCGCACCTGCAAATGGCCCTAAAAGGTGATAGTGTTGGGATTAGGTGCAATATTTGAATTCAGGCAGAAAAAATGTTGTTCATGCGCACCTCACTCCTCACACTCCCCTTCTCATCTGCGCATCCCCATTGCACTCATGCTCAGCCCACTCCTCTCACTCCCTTTCTCATCCGCGCATCCCCACCGCACTCATGCGCAGCCCACTGCTCTCACTCCCCTTCTCATCCGCGCATCCCCACCGCACTTATGCGCCGCCCACTCCTCTCACTCTCCTTCTCATCCGCGCATCCCCACCGCACTCATGCGCAGCCCACTCCTCTCACTCCCTTTCTCATCCGCGCATCCCCACCGCACTCATGCGCAGCCCACTCCTCTCACTCCCCTTCTCATCCGCGCATCCCCACCGCACTCATGCGCAGCCCACTCCTCACACTCCCCTTTTCATCTGCGCATCCCCACCACACTCATGCGCATCCCACTCCTCTCACTCCCCTTCTCATCCCGCATCCCCACTGCACTCATGCGCAGCCCACTCCTCACACTCCCCTTCTCATCCGCGCATCCCACTCCTCTCACTCCCCTTCTCATCCTGCATCCCCACCGCACTCATGCGCAGCCCACTCCTCTCACTCCCTTTCTCATCCGCGCATCCCCCCCGCACTCATGCGCAGCCCACTCCTCTCACCCCCCGTGTCATCCGCGCATCCCCATCGCACTCATGCTCAGCCCACTCATCTCACTCCCCTTCTCATCGGCGCATCCCCGTTGCACTCATGCGCATCCTACCCTTCCCACCCCCATACGCATCCGCGCATCCAACGCGCATACCTTGATGGCGTTTAACGGAATCTCTGCTGCCCATGATTTTGCTTTAGTCTCCGTGATCCATGCGTAGCGCTTCATGACTTGTCGCATCAAGCATCTGCGCATTCAGCGTACGGGTCGTTAGCACTCGTCCGCAAGAATCATGTTTCATACGAAGCACATATCTCACTTTCTCAAAGGTCCATCAATGTCGACGTGAGTTGCATATGAGTCTGCATGCCACAGGACACTTGATCGAGATAAGGGATCCCGGAGCGTGGTTAATTTTGATGACAGCAAGGCTCCAGTGCGCACTGCAATGTTATCGAGACTCCAATGTCGTTAGTTTGCAACACATGGGTACGTTCCACACATGAATAAAGAGACCCGACTACTTACTCCTTGTTAATCGGAACAAGAACGTGCTTAAACGACAAAATGTCATGTCCATAGGCCTGCGTAATGATCCTCTTCGACCCCGGGCGTGCTACGAGTGTCCAGAAATAAGGCGATGTGCAAAGCCACGACGCATTGTCATATCCGTACTCGTAGTGTAACATACTGCAGGATCGACATGAAAATATACAAAGTCGGTGAAGCTCGTGAGAAACTAAAATCAAGGGTCAGCAAATCAGTTTGCTCTGTGTTCAATACAGAGGCACTCACGATGAGAGCCACTCGATAACCGTGCCACTGATCCACTGCTCCTTTACCAGCGTGCAGTAATCTGAGGGTTTGATTTCAAGAGATCCCCCAAAACGGGGATGGCATGCGCATGTGCCGGAAACTACATCGCGCTAAGTTGGGTATGCCCTTCTCCTCCATATCTTGAGTATGCAAACTCAGCTTGAGCAGGATCTTGCCTTAGGTAAGGGGCAAAATTCCTTGCCCATCCAGCTCAACGAAAAGTCAAAGCAGATACTGTAGTTCCTCCTAAGGAAGGACCCACACGCCCTTGCACTTCGTTGGTCAACTTTGTGCTAAAATTCCTGCTCCGATTCGTCGTCAACGAATAGCCTGCTCTTGATATCTTGTCTACTTGGTGTCCAGTGTTGGGTGGTATGACAAGATTCCTTGCTCCAATGGCATTGGTGCGGCTTGTATTTTTCTGACACACAATTGGCGTGTACCCCAAAAAGGATGTCAGGTCCATGTCGCAAGCGGAAACGACCTTCGCCAACTTGTTTCCAGTTGGGTACAAAACCTCGTCAGGTTGCTGCGACAAGAAAGCAATTTTTGTACGCGAAAACAGTTACACCAAGAGATGCTGAGTATGAGTCGCATGGCGTTCTCGCCCATCTGCGCGGTTGTCGCGCACCAATAAACAGTGTGACCTAGCACTTCGAGCAGTAAATCAAAAACCTTAACCAATTGCAAACCAACTACTGACACTCGATGACCAATGGCCAATCAGGGTCACCGGAAACATATGTTCAGGCTCAGATCGCCAATTTGTCTTCGCGCCAAATCCTTCCCTCGCCTTTCGGTAAACTATCATCCATACGATAGTTTACTATCTCACCACGGTGCAGTGTTACCACTCATATCTCAAGCTGGTGTGCCAAACACCATTTCAGTCCTACGGACAGATCTGCTCGATGGAGGGTCAGGGTTGCAATTTTTGCAATAAACGCGTGTACTGCTATCAAACAGTACGTAGCCATCAAGCTAACCATGACGGCTGTAAGCGAGCCCAAAGACACAAGGCTCAAGAGGCTGCTAAGCGAAAGAAGCTGGGTCGTGACGTTGAGAAGTAGTATACCTTTGTCCCGTTAGGAAGAGCCACCCTTCTCGCACCAAAGCATTTGATTCCCTTAGCAGCACTTCGGAACGCAGTAGAGCAGCACCAGCAGCCGGCAGAACGAGTTCCTGATGCGGTCCATACGTGTAGCACCACAGTCGTGGGGGAAGAAGCTCCTACAGAGGAAATTCTCGATGTTAAGGCGGAAATATGCATTTTGGCACGGTCTCACGGCCTTACTAACGGGGCAATAAACAACACGATACAGTTAGTTAGACATCCGAAATTAGATCCAAAGCAGCTGGACGATTGGAACAGCTACCGGGACCTGGAGAAGTACGAGAACACCTTTGACGTTGGAGAGGCGAACGAATGGATCATCGAGGAGATCCCAGTGGATCACGAGATTGGGTTTCTCACTTTAAAACGCCGAGACGCTATAAAGGTGAGTGTCTCCCAGGTGCGGTGTCACGTTCTTTTGAGTGGAGGTGGGGGTTTAGTGATGACGATCAAACCATCGGACCAAAGGGAACCATCGTTTCTTCACGTCTGTTTTACATCTTTGTTTCCGACATTATCACCATCAGCTCTTTCATGCCATGTTCAAGAAAATTTCAGATGTCAAGGGATTCACCATCATGCCTCAAGAGTGGAAGGTTGACGGGGTTCGCCGCTACAGTACCCCTGCAAACACGGACTGGATGCTGGAGGCTTGGGTAAGTTTGGTTCCAGCTCATGTCGCATTTGACAAGACCGTCGAAACATAGGATCCAATTCAGATTTCCATCACTTTCTCATTCACTGTGGCAAGATAGAGTGCGGAAGTAAGGCATAGTTATAGCGCTCATTCTGTTCTCGGACCAGACCAATCTATCACATAACGGGCGCCAATCCGCCCACCCATTTCTTTTGTCCTTTGGGAACATTCCGGAATGGGCTAGGTGGCTCTAAGGAGGCACTGAGCTTCTCGGGCTTCTGCCTAATATCCCAGCTGACCTCTCGCCAGAAGAAAAGGTTCGAGTGTTCCAGCGCGCTGCAGAGATCATGAATAAAGATTTAAAGGCGGCTTCACATCTGAAAGGGTGAGTCAACACTACTGTCACCCTAGTAATCTCCGTCATCGTACTACGTATTCTGCCTCATCCCTATTCATAATCCTCCCACCCCACTGTTTCCATCATTAGCCTTCTGGTTTGGTCAAACCAACCACTCCGTCACGTTTCCACCCCACTACCCTTCTGATATTCGTTCCCTGAGGCATACCCTCTTTGCTCCCTTTGTTGACCCTCATTCATATCTGGTCCTCCTTTGCATGCGTGCCACAACGCTGTATTCAGTCATAACTTTGCTTTGCCACCATCTCATGCCGTTAATGCCTTCCTTGCTTGGTGTCCCCATCTTCCTAACCGTTCTTCATCTGCTTGCTTAGGGTCGCCCATGCTCACTCCGTTACTCCCATCTCCGACGTGTTATCCCATCATCCCCCCTCTACCTCCCTGTTTCCCCCTTCATCCTTGGCGGCTGTGCAGGGGCAGGGTGATGGTGGAAGACAGTGTCGGTGTGCAATATAGAGCATTCACGCTTCTATATTCATGGGTGACGGATCACCCAGAGTCTTCTAAGGTCACTTGTACGATGGCATACAACTCGCTCCATCCGTGCTCATCGTGCTTGGCTGATAAGGAGCATCTCGATGCGATGACGTTTGAGTTGACTCAAACGCCCCCCGATAAGGAGTGCCTGGATGAGCAGGAAGACACTATTGTCCTCAGAAGTGTCAAGAGTCAGAAGGATGCGTACAAGGAGATGGAATCAGCAAAGACCAAGAAGAAGTTGAAGGCGGTGAAGAAGAAGACCTCTACTCACTTTGTGAAGGTAACCCTTGCCTAGCTTATTCCGCATGCATTGCCGCGCATCTCATCTGGTTTCCCTCAATCCACACCATATACTGCACTGGCTAGTGTGCATGAGAACCTACTCCAATCCACAGCCAGCTGTTTGTGTTTATTACCCCGACCCGCCATAGTGAATCTGTGTCCTTGACCCACAACGCGGAGCCTTTTGTGGGACTGGGAATTCGCAAAGACTCTTTAAGGCAACACGTACCTCCCTGTCCCCCCGGACATCATGCACATCTGGGAGCGGGGCATATGGCTGCATACCATGAAGTGCCTTGTGAAGAAGCTGACCCCAAAAGCGGAAGATTCTTCTGGAGTGAGTTGTTCCGCGCCATGCTGAACCGTTCCTCCCCTCCTTGCTTGCTTTCCGCGCCATGCTGAACCGTTCCTCCCCTCCTTGCTTGCATTTTCCACCATGCTGAACCGTTCCTCCCCTCCTTGCTTGCATTTTCCACCATGCTGAACCGTTCCTTCTCTCTAGGCGATACAAGATTTTGAAGGAGGTCACATCAACTTCCGTGCTCCGTCCGCCTTCGGCGTGGGCCTACTTTACATCCACTGCCTGCTTTTCAGCTTCAGAGCATCGTGCGATGATGCAGGTCTTGCCTCTCATCATCGATCTCCTAGGACGGAAAGATGTCCGGACAGCAATCGTGCTCATGGTCGAGTGGTACAAGGAGTTTATTCGCGCTGAGTATCACACCGACGATTCCCTGAAACGGATGAAAGATGCCACCATCAGGTAGTTTCTCTTGTTGTTGTGTGGGCTCCCAAGCCGTTCATTGCCACATACACCCATTTTCCTCGCATCAACCGTACCTACATGCTCTCCCCCCCCCCCCCCCCCTTCCCTTTCATCTTGTTTTGACCCTTTGCATCCCTGTTCTTCCATACCCCACCTGCTTAACTACCCTAAACCCTTTTTTTTCCCTTGACTGCATGATTCCTCACCCCCCCTCCCTCGTGTCGTTTCTCCCTTCCTGGCCTGCATTCCACCCCTTAACTGCATGCATGCTCTCAACTGTCTCTCCCCAGCATGGTGAAGGCTCTGCGTGTTGCATTTCCTAAGCAGAAGTCAAAGTGGAAAATAGTGAAAATTCACCTCCTCGTCCACTTCCCGTCAACCATCCGTCTTCGGGGAACTGTTACGAGCACTCCCACAAGACCACTGTGAAGCGTCCTTCACGTGGCACGAATTGGAAGAATGTTGAAGATCGCATCGTTCGGAAACACCTGGAGCACGCGGTAGTTAGACAACTAGCGCGGGAGGCCGGCGGGGACAGCACGTATGAGACTTCGATGAAAGAGGTGATTCTTTTAAACCTGCAATGTCCCCCCTGCTCTGTACCCCTGCAAACTCTCGTCTGCTTTGTTTCCCTGTTTTATTCCCATGCTCTGCTCTCCTGCTCTAACACACTGCATGGCTGCCCTGCTCTGTTCTCTTGCTCTGTTCCACTTTTCTGTTCCCCTGCTCTGTTTCCCTGCTCTGTTTCCCTTCTCAGTTCTCTTGCTCTCTTCTCCTGCTCTGTTCCCCTAGTCCGTTCCCCTTCTCTGTACCCTGTTCTGTTTCCCTGCTCTGTTCTCAGCACTGTTTCCATGCTATGTTCACTGATGTGTCTGCATGAGTTGGCAATCAGATGCTGGACCAACCTAACCAAAGTAACCGAATCCTACCCTCCATCCCCGTCTTCGTCTCCACAAACTCGCCCCCGTTCCCCCACCCTCGTTTCCCCCTGGTCCCTAGCCCTCTCCTTCGCCTCCCCCGCATCAATCCCCTCCCCCACCCTCTCTTCCACCCTCCAAATGCCCACACCATTCACCCCACCCCCTCCCTATACCAACCCTCTCATCTTCACGGTGACAGGCATGCCTGGCTGGCCGGAGGGTGCTTACTAAGACCCACAAGAAGATGGTCATTGGAGACATCACCGACTCGGTGTTCCAGAGCTACGTCTTGACGCTGGGTGAACCCGCCATGAGTGCGATGGTTCTGCGCCTCAAACAGGCGGGCATCAACACGCAAGTCTTGCAGGTGCATTCCCCTCTCCTGCTTGCTTTCCACCCCATCCACCCCTGGTTCCCCCTCTCCTGCTTGCTTTCCACCCCATCCGCCCCTGGTTCCCCCTCTCCTGCTTGCTTTCCACCCCATCCGCCCCTGGTTCCCCCTCTCCTGCTTGCTTTCCACCCCATCCGCCCCTGGTTCCCTCTCTCCTGCTTGCTTTCCACCCCATCCGCCCCTGGTTCCCTCTCTCCTGCTTGCTTTCCACCCCATCCGCCCCTGGTTCCCTCTCTCCTGCTTGCTTTCCACCCCATCCGCCTCTGGTTCCCCCTCTCCTGCTTGCTTTCCACCCCATCCACCCCTGGTTCCCCCTCTCCTGCTTGCTTTCCACCCCATCCGCCCCTGGTTCCCCCTCTCCAGACTGCTGTCCATGCAAACCCTGGCCAATACCCCATTTCCCTTATGCTCTCCACCCCCTCTTTCGCTGCTTTCCCCTTTTCTTCGTTGAATGCTCGTGGTGTCAGGAGCACACGGCACTTGCGATCCCGCCACACGATAAGATGGAATGGACGTCAAGGGGGCAGTTCGTCAAGGCTAGCCCAGCCCAGCAAAACTTCTCGTCGATTGCGATCAACCCTGCAGGGAAGGGATCCCCGTGGTATGGCCGTTGCCTTGTGCTGTTTCATTACAAGGGTGGTGAGCTGAGGCGAGGAGCATATGTGGAGTACTACACTGAAGACAAGCGACAATGCCCATCGACGGGATGCAAGCGTCTTTTACCCACAGCTGGCGTTGATAATTATGCGGTGATCGATGTAGACTGCATTCTTAGTCTCGTGCACATTGTACCCTCGTGCGAGGACGATGAAGTGAGCCTCCTCAACAGATTTGTTTGGTGAGGCCTTTGACCCAATGTGACTGCAGTAAACGTTGATTTTGAACCTAGAATATTGATATCTATAGGCATTTCTTTAATCTAATAGGTGCAAAATCAATAACCATTGGTTAAATATGAGACTTGGAAACCCATGTTCTTAATGGGATTTACAAATTCAAGAAATAATCTTCAAAGGTTTTGCTGTAACAAACAATGCACAGAAGTAAAAAGGAGACATTTATATCGAGAACAGGTTTACACCACAAATCTTCCAAGCGAGGAGACTAGCTCCAACCCCTCTTAGTCGCGAAACCCTAATGCTGCAGCAACAAGCAAGAAACATTGAGTGGAAACATACGAATAGTGTCTCCAAAACGTCTCAAGAGGGACAAACGATTTTTGTAGGTTTTCTGTACGTTTTTCAAACGATTGTCAAACATACGATCGACCTGCCGGAACGTCAGATGATTTTCAAACACACATTTTTGTGATGACCTAAAGCACTTCAGGTACTCCATACCCTATACGTGATATTTGGGGGGAGGCTAAGCCATCTTAACTTGACCAGAGGGGTAAGGCACCATAACCCGTAATCACACACCTGGGTGTTAGCAATATCCAGATGCTCCAGATTTCCGAGCTTTCCCACATATACCATGCTATCAGACGTGAAGCTCCCTCCCAACAACTGCTGAGACAGAACAAGACTCTGTAACGAGGACAGGGTTGTGAGGTTAGCAAGCCCATTACCTGACATTGGAGTATCACGCAACTCCAGATGGCAAAGGGCTTTAAGATTCGCGATTTCAGGCAACAAGGGCTCGGAAACCGATTCCAGTCTCAGCTCTTCCAGCCATGTCATGGAGTAGAGGTGCAGCAGAGCAGGCTTTTCGAGATTTCCAATAACGGAGATGCTCTTGAGGGATCGCATGCAGGAGAGACGCAGGAAACCGAAGAGTGTCAGGTGAGAAGGGTCATTGAGCGTGATTTCGGTGGTTTCAGGGTGGAGACTGATGATCTGCATGTCCTCCTCTGAGGGAAGATGACGAACGGCTTCCGGAATTGCCTGAAAGTGTGGCAGGAATGAGTGTGCGGAATAATAAGACACCATGGTGCGGCTTACCATCAACTATGGTGCGGGAAAATCAGCAATAATGGTGCAAAATGATCAGCAACCACAAAACGACAGGAACCCCTTCCGAATTCCATGACACGCAATCAGAGGTGGCGACTTTCGCGACGTCTCACCTCCCAGACCTTCCGCATCGCCTCCTTCCGCTGAGCCAGCGCTTCCTCTGCAAGCGCCAGGCGCGCTGACAACGCATGCACCTCCATCTCCTTATCCTCCCTTGCAACCCTCTCTCGCGCTAGGTCATCCTCTAGCTGTCGAACGCTTGCCTTGCTCGCCTCTCTGTCTTCAACCAGGGTCTGTTCAATAGTTTCCACCTTTTTACTAAGGACGGTCACTAAGTCCTGGAGCCTGACAATGGTGTCGTCCGTTTCGATTTTGTATCGTTTGCACTCCTCCGAATCGCCCCTCGCGTCGTCTAGAACCGAATATTCTGTCAAATCCTCGCTTCGCCATTGGTCAGATCTGTCAGCTAAAAGTGAAAGAAAATCGCAAGCGATATGTCCTGAAAAATTATTAGCAGAACGCTTGCGCTTTATGAAATGGAGAGATATCGGTATCTGGCTGTTGAGGTATGTGGGAGAAGGAAGCTGACGTCGGCTCACATACCAGCTAGACGAAGTCAAATCGTAGTACAAGGTAACGTAATTCGAAAGACAACAGCTAACACTTGCTGTTCTGCCTCTGATCGTTCCCCCTACCAGCACGGAAGGAGTTGGCTAGGAGACTGGAGCTGCTTCTGCTAGCAAACGAAGGGGTGAAAAAAACATTTACTATTTATTCTAAACAGAAATGAAATAAACACAAAACAAAGAACCAGGAAAACAGAAAGCAGGACCCCTCATACCACCCAAGCTCGTTCCACTGGGCTGGAGCAAGTGTTTCACATTCCTCAATACTGGTTCTGCTGATAATCATGGTGTGCAAGATCTTGGTTTGGTGCTTCTGCACATGTTAGAAAAAAATAATTCACGGTAAACAGAGCAACAAGCCACTCCACAACCTATTTACAGTACAATCATACCCATTGTTAAGACTCCTAAACAAGTCAATCTTGCGATGGTATCTCTTAGCGATCAACATGCCGCATGTATCTCCGCGCCTCACACTGTACAATCGCTTGGTTGAACATGTATTGCCAGATAACGGCCGGCCGTCAACACTGGCCACACAAATCTGAGAGTCAACCACCAGTGAGGAACAGGATGGAAGGGGAAGAAAAAGAAACTGCATTGAATAACCTTCACACACAAGAGGCAGAGACAGAGACGGAGGCAAAGACATCGACAGCGGCACCAGACACAGGCACAGGCACAGGCACAGGCACATGTACTATTTGCAGCGTATAACCTCCTTCCCCTCCACCCCACAAACAGACCTTCCCAACTCACCCGACTCATCATATTGCCCTGCAGGGGGCTGTGCGGCAGCAGCGAGTCGCACGAGAGGCCAAGACTCAACTGAAAGAAGCACATCAGACTTCTTGCTCCTCCCTCATCTCACAACTCACACGCACAATCCCTCGAGTCTCACCCTCCCAGCCCAACTCACCCTTCTCATCATGTTGCCCTGCAGGGGGCTGTGTGGCAGCAGCGAGTCGCACGAGAGGCCGGGATTCATCTGGAAGAAGCGCGTGGGGGAGGCGATGGCAAACGCCCGCCACAGCTGCTGGCAGGTCTGCGGGCCCTGCAGCACAGTCACGGGCACACCTAGGCTCGTGTAGTTGGCTACAGGCGGAGGAGGAGGGGGTGGTTGAGGGCTGGGTGAGGTTGAGGGCGGGGTTGGTGTCATGGCTGGGGTGATTTGGGCCTGGAGCTTGCATGATATGCGGGTCATTCCCTCTTCTAGCCACGTCTGGTTGAGGGATACACAGAGGAGCTGGGAAGGAGGGAGGGAGGAGAATGGGGGAGAGGAGGGAGAAGGGGGAGAAGAGGGGGAGTGGGGAGAGGAATGTGTGAAATGATGTGAGATCGGGTTCTGAGACTTTGGAGAACAAACTACCCTGACGACATGTCATTGCAGCAGCTTCTGTTGACAGCGCACCTGCATTCTTGTCAGCCATCTACACCCACCTACACCCAACTCGACCCACCTCCGCTCACCAACATCCACCTACACCCCCCAAGACCCACCAACACATACCTGCAACCACAAGCACTCACCTGCACCTGCATCCACACTCACGTGCCCTCACCTAAACTCACCTGCACCCACCTGCACCCACTTGCACCCACCTGCCCCGATGCTCACCTGGCCGGGTCTGGGCCCATCAGAGCAGGTGAGGGCAGGGTTGAGCGGCAGTATCTGCGAGGAGAAGAGGGCGTTGAGTGAGTCACACGTGTCACCCTGCACACACATGTCAGGTAAAGGAGGAGTGGAAGAGGAAGCGTGGTTACTGGAAGGATTGAGTTGAGTGGCTGTATCTGCGTGGAGAAGAGGGCGTTGCGTGAGTCACACATGTCACCCTGCCGGCACACAGGGAAATAGGCGAGTGAGTGTCTGGGAAAGAGGCGAGGGGGTTTGAAGGGAGTGGGCGGATGAAGGGAGAAGGCACATGGAGGGAGAAGGCACATGGAGGGAGAAGGCACATGGAGGGAGAAGGCACATGGAGGGAAGGGGCACATGGAGGAAGTGGGAAATGCAAACACAGGTGGCGATTCAGAGTGAGCAGTGAAGCGGGGTTAAGTTTTGAGATTAGGCTCAAAGGCACTTACATAAGCGCACTGGAGTTTACACAAACGCACTGGCAGTTGGATAAACGCACCTTCACTTGGATAAGCGCAGTGGAACTTGGAATAATGCACTGGAAACTACTTCAACACCATGGCGCTTACATAATTAGCAGTGTACATGGCAGTGCATTGGGAGAAAGCCCGGCTGGTGACGTTAACAAGAGTGCCTACAGGGATGGGCGCTCGGCACTGGAACCCCTGTAGGTAGAACAAGGAGACAGAGAGGACAAATCAGTCGACTCAGAAGTCAGCTCGGCACTGGAACCCCTGCAGTCAGAACAAGGAGAGAGAGAGGAGCGGATTGGTCGGAACATGGGTATCTGACAGAAAAGAAGCACTATACAGGCAAGACGGGAAGGGGAGTATGGGTTTGGACGCTCTTGAAATGTCTCAAAAGGAGGGGTATGGGTTTGGACGCTCTGCTGTTACAAGGAGAGATTCTAACGAGGCAGGCCGAATGGGTGGTGGGAAGAATGAGCGGAAAGTGAGGGGCAGTGAGAGAAAGTGAGGGGGAGTGGGTGGAAGCGAGGGAAATTGAGTTGAAGTGAGGGGCAGAGAGGGGAAGTGAGAGAAACTGAAGGGCAATATTGAGCTTTCAGACCTTGTTTTGGCTCAAGAATTCCGCTTGGAAGAGCCCATAGGTGTTGAGTTGAGGATGAGAGAGCATGTGATGTGATGTGATGCCACACAATGTGCTGTGAGATGTGTGCTGAGCTGAACCAAACACAGCCCCTTTAACCAAAGCCCACCAAAGCCCTCCTGAGATTGTTTTGGTTGAAGAAGTCTGCTTGGGTGAGCCCATAATTGTTGAGGATGAGCGGGCATGTGACATGGAATGTCCTGACCCCAATCAATCTACAGCTTAAACCTTCCTTCAGTCCAATGGCAGACCTTGTTTTGGCTGAAGAAGTCCTTTTGTGTGAGCCCGTAGGTGTTGAGGATGAGAGGGCATGTGAGGCCGTAGGGCGACAGGAAGGTGGGCATTCGAGTCTCAGCCAATCGCACTGCATGCACGGGGTAGGCATGCATGGCGTGAGCATGCATGGGGTGAGAATGCATGGGGTGAGCATGCATGGGGTGAGCATGCATGGGGTGAGCATGCATGGGGTGAGCACGAGGCATGCACGTCACTGCAAGCAGCAAGGTCGAGGTGGCATCTGAGTAGACTCAAAAGGCAGCTGAGGGATGAAAGCCCAAGGGAGCCCCAGTTAGGAGGCATGACGTTGCGTGGCAGCAGCTGAGTTTAGTTTTTTTTTTGTCGAAGTGGCATCTGAGTTGATTCAAAAGGCAGCTGGTGAGGGATGTACGGGCAGGACAGACGAGGTCCATATGATGAGCCGTGACAGCAAGTTCTATCCAATGGGCGATCATGAACAGAACAAGCGCACGCACATGTCAGAAGGGCAGATGCTGGTAGCAAGCGAGCAAGCAAGCAAGGGAACGAGCAAGCAAGCAAGCGAGCAAGCAAGCAAGGCCATGTTGTACGCACAGTGGTAACAGCGGGCAGCGCCTTTGGGGTAGAGATAGAAGGGGAAGTAGGGCGAGGGGCAGAGGCAGGAGTAGGTGCCGTCTACGTCATCAATGCACACCCCCGGGGCACATGGGTTGCGGGGGAACTGGCGACACGTGAAGGAATCTGGTGACGGGTTGGGGGGAGAAGGGGACGGCAGGACAATGGGACAGGGGGATAGGGGATAGGGTACAAGGGGGCAATGAGAAACAGGGATGGAGAACGAGAAAGGAGGAGAAAGGGGGCAAGAGGAGGAAGCAGAAGAAGGGGAAGGGGGAAAGGCGGTGGGGGGGAAATGAGGGAAAACAAGAAAGAAGGGCATTGCAGAAACGGTCATAGTGCATTAGAGTGCAAACTCTTCAAGAGATTTCACGTGCAAAAAGCGAAAAGGAGAAAAGAAAGACGGGAGTGGGCTGATAATTGATTAAGGATTTAAAAGAAATACGAACTTTTGCATTTTCTCAAGAGCGATGTGAATCGAGAACGAGTGCATGCGTACAAACCTATGTCGTCTACAAACAAACCAAAAGGGCACCTACCACACTCCACTCCACCTCTCACCCACCACACTCCACTCCACCTCTCACCCACCGCACTCCACCTCTCACCTACCACGCTCCACATCTCACTTACTGCACTCCACCTTTCACCTACCACACTCCACCTCTTGCCTACCGCACTCCACCTCTCACCTACTGCACTCCACCCCTCACCTACCTCAGTCCACGGCTCACCAGGGAAGCAAGAGGGCAGGCCGGCGAGGTGGGAGGGTTGGAAGGAGGGGAGCTTCAAAGGGCACTTGCAGGAGGGCATTCCACCTCTTGCCAACCGCACTCCAGCTTACCAAACACACTGCACACCTTGCCCACCGCACTCCACGTCTCACCAGGGAAGCAGGAGGGTAGGCCGGAGAGGTGGGAGGGTTGGAAGGAGGGGAGATTGAAGGGGCACTTGCAGGAGGGCACGAGGATAGACGGGTCCCACGGGGCACGTGCCTTGGTGCATGCACCCGTGCCACAGGGGAGCACTGGAGAACCCTTGCAGGGGTCGGTGTCTGTTGGGTAAGGTGATGAGAAGGAGGCGGAAGGAGAGCAAGCAAGGGTGTGAGGCAGGAGGAGAGACGGGTCCCACTGGGCAATTGCCTTGGTGCACATGCCCATGCCACAGGGGAGCACTGAAGGACCTCGCAGGGATCGGTGCCTGCTGTTGGGTAAGGTGATGAGGAGGAGGCAGATGGAGAGCAAGAAGAGCGAGTGAGGGCGGGAGGGCACAGAAATAGACAGGTCCCATGGGAGATGTGCTTTGGTGGTGCACGCACCCATGCCACACGGGAGCACTGGCGAGGCCTTGCAGGGGTTGGTGTCTGTTGGGGGTGGGGTGGTTGGGGGGAGATGGGAACGGGAAGAGTGCAGAGGTATGAGCTTGCACATGGCATGGCTTGCTACCCCTTCTCACTTTCTCCCTCCCTATCTCGCCCTCTTTCCCTTCCCCCATCTCGCCCTCTTTCCGTTCCCCCATCTCACCCCCTTCCCCTCCCCCTATCTCGCCCTCTTTCACTCTCTCCGTCTCGCCCCCTTCCCTCCCCCCCATCTCGCCCCCTTCCTCTCCCCCCTACCTGTGAATCGGAAGGTCCAGGAGGAGAGGGCGACAGGGGCAGGGCATGTGGCTTGCTACCCCTAAGCCCGAAACCCTGAACTCGAAACCCTAAATCCTGGCTTGCTACCCCTCCCCTCTTTCCCTTCCCCCCATCTCGCCCCATTCCCCCACCCCCTACCTGTGAATCGGAAGGTCCAGGAGGAGAGGGCGACGGGGGAAGGCAGGCGGCCAGAGGGGGGAGGGAGAGCAGCGCTGGTGAACCCAACGAACAGCTGCCCGAAGGATGGCGACCATAAGTCCGTTGCACTGCTGTCACCGCTGCTGCTGCTGCTGCTGCTGCTGCTGCCGCTACCACTGCCGCCACCACTGCTGCTTCCACTGGCGGCAGAGGGCCCGGTAAGAGCAGCACAGAGGTCAAGAGAGACGTTCAAGCTGCCTACTAGAAGAGGGGGTTGGTACCATCTGATCAGCATCTCCTTGCTCCTCCCGTTATAGTCAACCCTCATCTGCAACACCTCCTCAGGCTCCACGACAGTTGACAACTTCTCCGTAAAAATCGAAGTCATGTTGAAGTCAGTGTTAACGCCAAAGTGTATAGTATATACATCGTCCATATCCGGGTGCCAAAACACAGCTACACTCCGCGCGCCGTCCGGCCAGCTGCCATTAGCGAGTCTCAAGGATGGGTCCCGGCCGTACCCCATATAAAGCCCGTCTAGGCCCAGGGTCGCATGAGTGCTTATAACGAACGCGAGCCCATGGGAAGCAGATACATTTAGGGAAAAGCCGTATGTGAAGGTGAAAGAGCGAGCCATGCAGGTTGGGGGTTCGGTTGCTGTGGGTTGGGGAGGGGGGAACGAAGGAGAGGAATGGGGGGAGCTGCGGGAACGACGAGGAGGAGGAGGTGGGAAGGGAGGGGAGGAGGAGGAGTAGAGGAGGGGGAGACGGCGAGGGAAGTAGATGGCTCCAGGGGGGGGATCGTCTGATTGGCCGCTGGATGATGCCACATCAGCAGCGACGGAGAGATCTGCGGCGAAGAAGCGTTTCCTGGTGCTGCCACGTGTCAGCAGGGGAGTGGCTGGCATGATGTAGGGGAAGGAGAACGAGTCTGCCGTCCAAAACGGAAGTTGATCCTCCGCTGCTGGGGTTGGCATGGTATGGGGGCGGGAACAGTGGGGAGAGGGTTAGGCATGAGTAAATGTTCAATCTTAGGCTAGGATGTGGACCGTGGGACACTGGAAGTAGGTAGGTTCCATGGAGGTTCGCTCCTTCTTTTCACCACCCACCAAAACGGCAGCCAAATCGTTGCAGAAGGGGGTTGGCACTGTATGTGAGACGTTGGGGGGGGGAAATGACAGGGGGGGGCCGAGTTGTGGGGTGTGTGAGTTCCTGCTTTGCCCACACCATGGAGAGTCATGGATGTTGTAATTGTATATTATATACAACATACATTGGCTAGAATAGGTGTAGTCCTTTATGTTCTTGGGGGTTTGGGTGTACACTCCAACCACACTTGGTGGTTGGTCAAGATTGGATTTGGTCATGGTCTTTGGTTGGCACTTGCCAACTTTTGGTCCTTAGACCAACCAATCCCAACCTAGCTACATTGTGAGGTTTCTTACTCCACAAGGCACCTCACCCATTGGCCAACCTAGTGGCCAATAGGGTTAGCTCCTCCTCCACTCTTCTCTTTTCTACATGCTTGTATTATAGAGCCTTGTTGGCTCATCACTCAATACAATCTTGAATTCTCACATGGTATCAGAGCCAAATGGCTCACTCCGTCCTCCTTCGACCCGTAGGCTATAATCTCCTCTCCGCTCCTCTACCCTAGCGGACTATGACCTACATCCGCCCTCCCACACCTCAGATCTAGCCTCCCGCGGCTCAGATCTACTCCTCCGCGGCCTCAATCCGCCCTCCCGCACCTCAGATCTAGCTTTCCACGGCTCAGATCTACTCCTCCGCGGCCTCAATCCACCCTCCCGCACCTCACATCTAGCTTTCCACGGCTCAGATCTACTCCTCCGCGGCCTCAATCCGCCCTCCCGCACCTCAAATCTAGCCTTCCACGACTCAGATCTACTCCTTCGCGACCTCAATCCTCCTTCCTGCGGCCTCAAACCGCTCTCCTGTGGCAGCAATCCTCCCTCCCGCTGCCACGCCTCCATCTGCGCGCCGACGCGGACGACGTGCGCTCCGACGCGGACGACCTACGCACGCACGCGGACGGCCGACACGCTGACGCCGACAGTCAGCGCGGCGCCGTCCACGACCTGCGCGCTGACGCAGACGGTCAGCGTGGCGCCACGAACGCCCCGCGCCGGCGCGGACGGCTTGCGCGGCAACGCTGCCGACCTGCGCGCCGACGCGGACGACCGGCGCGCGCCACGAACGACCTGCGCGCCGACGCGGACAGACAGCGCGTGGCCGCGGACGACTTGCGCGCCGACGTGAATGGTTGGCGCGGAGCCGCGGCTGACCTGCGTGCCGTCGCGGACGGCTGACCGCAGTCGCCACAACCTCCTCCTTCACTCGTGCCCTGCCCCACACTTCTGCGCCAGCCTCCCCTTCCTACCTCCTCCCCCTACTCCACCCTTAATGGCACCTTCAACGACACCAGCAATGGCACCTTCAACGGCACCAACAACGGCACTGTCAACAGCACCAGCAGCAGCACCGTCAACGGCACCAGCAGCGGCACCGTCAATGGCACCAGCAGCGGCACCGTCAACGGCACCAGCAGCGGCACCGTCAACGGCACCAGCATCGGCACCGTCAACGGCACCAGCAGCTGCACCGTCAACGGCACCAGCAGCGGCACCTTCACCGCTTCGCCATCATGGCGTCGTCGGACTCATCGGTCGACTTGGCGGCCATCAACACTCTCGAGTTGTTGGGCGACAACTCGGCCGCCAACTGGCACTCTTATGCCCACTTCGTCGAGGTGTTGCTCTCCCCGATCGTCGTCAGTGGACATATCCTTCGTTCCGTCGTGTTCCGGGAGGAGGGTGGACTCCAGCCCATCGCCCCTTCCGCCCCCACCGGACCTGCTCCCAACGAGCCCGGACCCGAGCCCGAGACTCCTGGTGATCCTCCCTCTTACGCGTCGGATGTCAACAACCCACAAAGTGTGGAGACTGCCATTCGTGCCTACCACACCACACTCAACGACCACCTTCGCCATCAATTGCGCTATGAGGACGACAAGTGCACCTACGACGATGCTGCTGCCCGCCACCGCGAATACCAAGCCCAGCTTGCCACTTACACTACATGCCTCGCCACCTACACCACTGACATCGCTGCGTGGCGCATTGCTGATCGTCGAGCTCTCGCCATCCTCCTTGCCACTATCCCCTCCTCCCTCAAGCAAGAGCTCTCACCCACCTCCCCCTCCCACCTGTGGCAACTGCTTGTCGACCTCTTTGACAGGCAGGACATCGCCACTCTCTATGCACTCATCAAGGAATTCGGATCCATCACCATGGACTCCACCGCCGATGCAGCTGCATCTACTCGTCGCGTCCTTGACCTTGCTCGTCGCCTTGCTGCACTCGGTGTTGTCTACCCTGACACCGTCATCTGCTGCCACCTCCTCGAGGGTCTCACCCCTGCCTTCGATGCCCACCTACGTTGCGCCTGACGTGTCAGGCGTTTTTTACGCTGGCGTCTGGACGGGGCGTCCAGACGCTTGCCGCCCGATGTCCTCTGCCCTGGACGCACACTTGACGCTAGTCCGGGCAGGGCAAAACTTTTCTTGGGCAGGGGTAAACAAAACCTGCCTAGTAAGGATACCCAGGGGTTAGAATGCAAGAAGGTCACCTTTGTCACCTAAAGACATAAAAACTCCATAAAATCCTGAAAATCCGGAAAATCTCATCATCTCACACACAAGTCGACAAAATATCTTAATCGCCTTAACCTAATTTTAGCTAGGAAGGCTTAGCGTGACTGGCATAAACTAGTCTAAGGAATGCTTGGCAATGTCGAGAGAAACAGATCTGTGTAGTGTCGACCTAGATCTAGTTCTCTAGTTTAGTTGGGGGTCGACCTGGTTGGGAGAAATAGATGTGCTTGAGTACAAATGTATGGGGGGGGATAAATGTGGATCGCGTTTGTTTAGGTCAAAAACGCAACCCCCAGTTTGCGATTTCATCGCAATTCTGCCTCACCCTCCTCCACCCTTGAGTTCGTCCTGGACAGTGGAGCCACTGCCACTGTCCTTCGCAATGCTGGTACACTCCATCCTCTCCCCACACCCACGTCCCTCCTCGGCGCTGATAGCACCTTTTCCATCCCCTTGTCACAACACATCCACCCTTCCCTGTCCTCTCTTTCCCTCATGTACCGTCACAGGTCTTCACATTCCCTCCCTTCGCACTAGCCTCCTCTCCCAAAGGTCCCTCCAACAAGCCATGATCACCACTGTCATCCCAGGTGGCGCTAACCATTGTGACCTTTACCAAACCTCCACATGTCGTTTTCTCTCCCATATTCCCTTCTGTACACCCTTCGGGTTCCCTGCCCCCTCACCTTCCAAGTTGCCTCCCCCCCCCTCCTTCCCCCCCCCCTTTCCCCTCCCTTCCACTAACCCACCCGTCCCCCCCCCTGCCCCCCTGACTCTGACTGCTCCTATTGCTCCCTCTCCCACCCTACCATCATCCTCCATCACAGGCTAGGTCACCCCAACTTCGCTACTCTGTGTTATTCTGTCTCCTCTAGTCTCCTCCACGGTCTCCCCTCCTCCCTCCCTCCCCTACCCACCCATGCACCGTCTATGTTCACACGGAGCATTAAGCAGCAGCCGCACCAGAGCTCCCCCTCTGCTGCTGCCCAGCCACTTGAACTTGTTCACATGGACTTTTGGGACCCTAATCTTTCTCCCACTCGCCAAGGCCATCGCTACCTTCTCGTGCTCGTCGATGATTAAGTTGGTACTCCTCCGTCTCTCTCCTTCGGACGAAGGCGGACGCCACGACTACAATCATTGCCTGGCTCGAACAAGAAAACACCCACTTTAGGTGCCCTGTTCGCCGTCTACACTCTGATGGTGGTGGTGAGTTCTTTAACAACCAAATCTCCTCCTATTGTCAGTCCTGCGGCATTCTTCAAGCTTACACCCTCCCTCACTCCCCACAGCAGAACGGTGTCGCTGAGAGTCGTGTTCGGGAGATCACCAAAACGGCTCGATGTCTTCTTGTCCGCGCCTCATGCCCCCCTTCTATGTGGGGCTACGCCCTCTTTCATGCCGCCCTCCTTACTAACCTTTACCCTCACCCCCTCCTCCCCTCCACCACCCCCACTGAGCTATGGACAAAAGACAAACCTAGTGTCTCCCCTCTTTGAGTCTGGGTCTCAAAGGCATATGTCCTTATTCACCCGTCTGACCGTTCCCGTTCCGTGGGAAAGCTTGCCCCTCGTACCCTTCCTTGCATCTTCCTTGGTCATAACCCCTCCTCCCCCGACTACCTTTTCCTCCACCTCCCTTCCGATCGACTAATTCGCACTAGAGATGTTGTCTTTGACGAGTCCACCCCCTACTACTCCTCTCCTTCGTCCACTGACCCACTCCCCCCTCTCACCCATCCCCTTGTGTGGCCTGACACCATCCCTCCCCCTCTACTCCCTCCTACCCCCATCCTCCCACCCCCTCCCACTCCGCCTTCCCGGTCCCACGATGCCCCCCCCTCGTCTGGTGACATCTTTGACCCGAACCCTCTGTCTTCCCGTGTCTCCCCTGCTCACTCCTCCCCCGATGCCCCTCCCCCCCCTCCCTCCCAACCCTCACCCCCCGCACCATTCTCAGCCGGTATCCTCGCACCGGGTCACGTGACGGTATCCTTGGTGCACCGCCCCCTATTACCCTCTCTACCTCTACCTTCCCCCTTCTCTCCCCCCTCCTTCACCACTTCTTCCAGGCTGTCTTGCATCAAGACCCTCATGCAACAGCCCCCTCAGCCACCCCTCCACCCTCAGCAGCAGCAGCTCCGGGAGCAGCCTCCGCAACGGTATCTGAAGCAGCACCAGCAGCAGCACCCCCAGCGGCACCAACAGCGGCACGTTCAGCGGCAGCAGCGGCACCAGCAGCGGGGCCAGTAGCGGCATCTGCAGCGGCACCAGTAGCGGCTCCAGCAGCAAGATCTGCACCGGCACCAGCAACAGCGCATGCAGCGGCACCAGCGGCCATCCGCGCCTTCCACACCTCCCTCCTATGAGGAGTTCCTTGACCTCCACCTCTGTAACCCCTCCCTTCTACCCATCACCTTCGACCTCTCTGGAACACCAGTCTTCGCCTTTTCCTCTGCTCCCTCCATTTCCATCCCTACCACGTATGAGGAGGCCATGGCTTGCCCCGACGCCCCACTCTGGCTCGCCGCCATCATCAAGGAGCTAGAGGCCTTTGTCGTCAACTCCTCCTTCATTGATGTGCCTCGCCCTCCCCCCTCTACGAACGTGGTGAAAGGGAAGTGGGTGTTTCGCATCAAACAGCTACCACGAGAGCCGCCCGTCTATAAGGCCCGGTATTGCGCCAAGGGATTCACGCAGCGGTATGCTGTTGACTTCCTCGACACCTTCTCCCCCACCGCCAAGCCTGCTACCGTTCGCGCCGTACTTGACCTCGCCGCTCGCCTCAAAATGGAGGTCCACTTGATGGATGTCTCCAACGCCTTCCTACAAGGCGTGCTACATGAACTGATCTACATGGAGCGCCTGGTGGGCTTTTGCCTCCCTTTCCCCGCTGACTCTGTCTGGCAGCTACATCGACCCGTGTACGGGCTCTGCCAGGCACCCAAGGAGTGGCATGCCAAGCTTGCAGCCACCCTTGCCGAGCTTGGGTTTCGCACCTCCCGCTCTCGCGCCAGCCTCTTCCTCCGCATCTCCCCCTCCCCCTTCTACATCCTCGTCTATGTTGACGACATAATCCTCCTCACTGCCGACCTTGCCGAGTTCGAGAGTGTCAAGGCGGAGCTCGGCAGCCGTCTCAAGTGCAAAGACCTGGGAGAGCAGCAGCACTACCTCGGCATGACCATCACTCGCGACTGCTCCGCCCGCAAGTCCTAGACCGGTTTAAAATGGCGCGCGGTAACCCCCAACCCACTCCCCTTTCGGTTAAGCACCACCTCTCCCCACCCTCCTCTCCCTCTGCCTCCTCTCATCCTTATCCTAAACTCATCGGCTCTCTCATGTACGCCATGGTTTCCATTCACCCTGACCTTGCCTACCCCATCAGCGTCCTCACTCACTTCGTTGGCACTGGCAAGCATACGGAAGAGCACTGGCAAGCGGCCAAGCGCGTCTTTCGCTACATTCGTGCCACCAAGGACTATGTACTTACCCTTGGTGGCCCTTCCCCGCCCCTCCTCAGCGGGTACAACGACTCTTCCTGGGCTGACTCTCGGCCGGATCGGCGGTCCTCTCAGGGTTATGGCTTCTCTCTGAGCAGCGGTCTCATCAGCTGGCGGTCCACACGCATCTCTACTGTCGCCCTCTCCTCCTGCGAAACTGAGCTCTACGCTGCAACCATGGCCGCGCAAGAGGCATGCTCGCTCACCTTCCTCCTTGATGAGCTTGGTGCCCCCCAACGATGTCCCACCATCTGATGTGACAACGCCAGCACCGCTATGATGGATTATACGCGTTCAGCATATAAACGCGTATTTTATATACGCTAACGTGTATACGCGATACGCTTAACCCTAAGATTAAGCATACCCTTTCCCGGGCAAGGGAAAAAGTTTCTGGGCAGGGTGAAAAATACGTCGTGCTCAACATCCGAAAAGGTAGGTATTCTCTACCCTATTCTCACTGAGACTTCCCTAGCATTTTCCTGAGTCAGAATGGTGGGTGGGGTGGGATGTGGAGTATATCGCTAGAAGGAGAACTAGGTATCGGAAGGAACTCTGCTGGGAAGCAGGAATGTAAACCAGAGATGAGTGCCGTTGGGCTGGCAGCCTGGTAAGTAGCGTGAGTGTGAGGTGGTTGGGGTTTTTTTTTTTGACAAGTTGGAGTTTCTATACAGGATGGGTTTCAATGCGGTACAAATTTATGGAACTACCCAAAAACTTCAAAGGCACATTCCTGCTTCCCTAGGCCGCCGAATTGCATTTCGACTTCGGCGAAATGCTCACCAGGAGAATCCGCATTTTTCCGTATACTCACGATTTTTTTTCCCGGGCAGCCCCAAAAACATTCTGAGTGCGTATAGCGTATTAGTAGGGATGAGCAAGGTGGCGAACACCTGTTCGGTTCGCCTCGAACACGTTCGAGGCGAACCGAACAGGTTTTGTTTTTTAGCTCAAATCGTTCGCCGAACAGTGTTCGATGTTCGCCCGAACATGTTCGTGTTCGGGCCGCTGCTGAAATTTGCCCGCGACGAACACGAACAGTGTTCGAGGTTCGCCCGAACACGCCTCCACAGGCGAATAGCGAACACCTGTTTTTTCCTAAACTGTTCGCCGAACCGAACACTGTTCGGTTCGGCAAAAGAGGGTGTTCGACAAGGGGCGAAGACAAACATGTTCGTGTTCGCCCTTTGCTCATCCCTACGTATTAGCTAGCGTATAGCGTTTTGGGTATATACGCAAGCGTATAAACGCTGTACGCTTTAGGGTCTGAGCGTATAGTCCAACATAACAGCACCATTCACCTTACCAAGGATGCTCTGTATCATGGGCGCTCCAGACACACTGAACTTCGCTAATTCTTCATTCGTCATCTCGTTGAAGCTAGGCACCTTCGCCTTGGCAAAATCGACTCGGCGGCCAACTTCGCCGACATCTTCACCAAAGCCCTTCCCCAGGCGTCCCACTCATTCCTTCTGCATCTCCTTGGCCTCACCCCTCCTCCGGTTTTGGCGGCCTCCTGATTACATCTTGTAGCCTTATGCATGTTGGGGGGTTGTGTTGTAATTGTATATTATATACAACATACATTGGCTAGAATAGGTGTAGTCCTTTATGTTCTTGGGGGGGTTGGGTGTACATTCCAACCACAATTTGTGGTGTCAAGATTGGATTTGGTCATGGTCCTTGGTTGGCACTTGCCAACTTCTGGTCCTTAGACCAATTAATCCCAACCTAGCTACATTGTGAGGTTTCTTACTCCACAAGGCACCTCACCCATTGGTCAAATTAGTGGCCAATAGGGTTAGCTCCTCTTCCACTCTTCTCTTTCCTGCATGCTTGTATTATAGAGCCTTGTTGGCTTATCACTCAATACAATCTTGAATTCTCACAATGGGGTGTAACTATGTAAGAAACAGTGTAACCATGTAACTGTGTAAGCACATAGCAAGGAACCCATTCAAGTGTGCGCCCGATCCCTCCCTCCCTTTGCCTGCCAACCAGTGCTGCAGGTCAGAAATCCCACACACCTGAGGCCTACACCAGGCCTACGCCAGGCCTACATGAGGCTTACACCAGGCCTACATCAGGCTTACACCAGGCCTACATCAGGCTTACACCAGGCCTACATGAGGCTTACACCAAGCCTACATGAGGCTTACACCAGGCCTACATCAGGCCTACATCAGGCAGTGGGGAGACAACTGAACTTAACTCATCCTCCCATACTTCAAACTTCCATTCCAGCACCTCATGCGGGCATGCAACACTACAGGCATGAAATCTCACACACCGAAGGCCAACATCAGGCAGTGGGGAGACAACACTGCAACCTTGACCCATGCGAAATGCAGCCCATCATCCTCCCATGCTTCAACCTTCCACCCCAGGACCTCATGCGGGCATGCAAAGCTGCAGATGCTGATAAGAAGATAAGCAGATAAGAGAAGCATACCTGTGGGTAATTTTCCCCAAGCTCCTCACACGTGTCGAGCTACTCACAGGTGATAAAGTAATGCAAGGGTAATTTCCCCTATAATACGCTCAAAACAGGGATGAAGGCACCTGAACTCACCCTCCCCCACTCAAACTTCCTCCCCAGCACGTTGTAAGGTCACTCCAACAGTTCACCCCCCCTCCACTTGGAACGTCCACCCCAGCACCTCTTAAGGCCACTCAAACAACGCACCTTCTCTGACCTCAAAGCTCCACCCCAGCACCTCGTGCGCCTGAGCCTGTTCCGCCCCCTTGCCCGTGGCCGCTGTGAATCCCACAAACAGTGGCGAGGGGGGCGCTGCTGCCTCTGGGTCGTTTCCCCCCAGCCACTCGCAGGTGTCCAGGAACATGGAGAGGACAGCAGAGCGCGGGAGAGGAGGGGAGGTGGGGGAGGAAGAACGAGAGGAGGAGGGGGCGGGGGAGAGGTAGACGGTGAGGTGGGAGGAGGAGGCGTTGTACTGGATGGTGGCGAGGAGGGTTTGACCGGCGTTGAGGGCGGGAATGCCGAGGGGGTGCACGGGGACAGAGGCGAGAGAGAGCATGCTGCTGTGCAGGTTCACCCCCACGTGGTGGTCGGGCCGGTCGAAGAACTGAGGAGAAGAGGACGTGTCAAACTCTACTGCCAGGCTCCTGTGCTGCTGTGGCTGTGTGGGGGGAGGGGGGGGGGGGGGGGGGGGGGGTGGGAGAGGCAGCAGCAGCAGCAGCAGCAGCACAGCAGAATGGCAGAGCAGCAACAGAAGAGAGCAGAAGAGGCAGAGGTGGAGAGTGAAGGAGTGCACGGGGGCAGAGGCGAGAGAGAGAGCATGCTGCCGTGCAGGTTCACCCCCACGTGGTGGTCGGGGCGGTCCCAGAACTGAGGAGAAGAGGACGTGTCGAATTCCACTGCCAGGCTCCGCTGCTGCTGTGGATGGTGGGGAAGGGGTAGGCACGGTCTGTTAAGACACATGTGTCAAACTCCACTGCCAGGCTCCACTGCTGCTGTGGATGGGGGGGGGGGAGGGGGGGGCAGCAAATGGCAGCAGCAGATAAAGACAACTGCAGAAGCGCAAAGCAGCAGCAAAAAGGAGCAAGAAATGCAGAGGAAGACCAGCGGACAATTTACAGGGAAGACGAAAGGCGAGAGACGGAAGACAAAAACACCACGGGAGGCCGATGGAAGGCGAACGAGAAGGAAGAGATGATATCGATGAGCATACCTCCCCTCCTCTTGGTACGCCGAGCGAGGGCAATGGTATCATTACAAAAGCTAAGCCCTGCTGGGTGAATTTTACTTTTGAGAATTCTCGTCAAATATCGATGAGCATACCTCCTCTTGGTACGCCGAGCGAGGGCAATGGTATCATTGCAAAAGCTAAGCCCTGCTGGGTGAATTTTACTTTTGAGAATTCTCGTCAAATATCGATGAGCATACCTCCTCTTGGTACGCGGAGCGAGGGCAATGGTATCATTACAAAAGCTAAGCCCTGCTGGGTGAATTTTACTTTTGAGAATTCTCGTCAAATATCGATGAGCATACCTCCTCTTGGTACGCCGAGCGAGGGCAATGGTATCATTACAAAAGCTAAGCCCTGCTGGGTGAATTTTACTTTTGAGAATTCTCGTCAAATATCGATGAGCATACCTCCTCTTGGTACACGGAGCGAGGGCAATGGTATCATTACAAAAGCTAAGCCCTGCTGGGTGAATTTTACTTTTGAGAATTCTCGTCAAATATCGATGAGCATACCTCCTCTTGGTACGCCGAGCGAGGGCAATGGTATCATTACAAAAGCTAAGCCCTGCTGGGTGAATTTTACTTTTGAGAATTCTCGTCAAATATCGATGAGCATACCTCCTCTTGGTACGCGGAGCGAGGGCAATGGTATCATTACAAAAGCTAAGCCCTGCTGGGTGAATTTTACTTCTGAGAATTCTCGTCAAATATCGATGAGCATACCTCCTCTTGGTACGCCGAGCGAGGGCAGTGGTATCATTACAAAAGCTAAGCCCTGCTGGGTGAATTTTACTTTTGAGAATTCTCGTCAAATATCGATGAGCATACCTCCTCTTGGTACACGGAGCGAGGGCAATGGTATCATTACAAAAGCTAAGCCCTGCTGGGTGAATTTTACTTTTGAGAATTCTCGTCAAATATCGATGAGCATACCTCCTCTTGGTACGCCGAACGAGGGCAATGGTATCATTACAAAGGCTAAGCCCTTCTGGCCTATCCCCATCACATTGGGAGGAAGGAGCTGTTTCTGAGGTAACACGTACCTGAGATGACATGTACCTGAGATGACACGTACCTGAGACGACACGTACCTGAGATGACACATACCTGAGATGACACATACCTGAGATGACACGTACCTGAGATGACACGTACCTGAGATGACACGTACCTGAGATGACACGTACCTGAGATGACACGTCACTGGAATTATCAGCGCCAGTCGTGCTCCCCGGGGGCAGCAGCACACGGCCGTAGCCCAAAGAGGGCCCTGGCAGGCCGAGCATGGGCGTCGGCAGCATCACAAACGCCAAGCCCTCGCCGCCCAGCCCGGCAGCATTGGGGGAGGAGATGCGGAAGGCGAAGGAGGTGGAGAAGGAGAAGGGGCGGCAGGGGGAGGAGGGCGTGGCGGGGGCGAGCAGGGCGAAGGGGGCGGGGTGCAGCGCGAGAGCAGCAGCGTTGAGGTCAGAGAGCGTGGTGAGGGAGAGAGAGGATGAATTGCGTCGTGCTGAACCGGCTGTGAGGAGCGGATGGGCTCTGGAGAGCGGCCAGTGGGAGAAGCGTTTGAGGGGGGACGGGTTGGCTGCAGCGGACAAGGATGGGGAGTTGAAGGGGATGGGGGGAGGTGAAGGTTGAAGAGGAGTGGGAGCGAAAGTGAAACGAGGGATCGATCGTGCACATGCGCGGGAGGTTAGGCCTTGGGTATGTGCAGCGCATGCTTTCTTCTGCTATACCTGTGATGTGAGTCGTCACACACCTGTGATGTGATGTGAGTCGTCACACACCTGTGATGTGAGTGGGTGGGAGTTGGGCATGAGTGCAGCGCATGCTTTCAGCCAACTATACATGTGACACACCTGTGACCCTGGCAGCCATTGCTGTCTTTCTCACTCACTGCGAGTGGGCATGACAGACGCAAGGTCGATATCAGTGCTCCCCGCTCCTGCTCCTCCTCCCACTTCCGCCACCACACCCACTCGCTTTACCACTGCCGCCTTTACTCCCACTCCCGCACCTGCTGCTCCTCCCGTACTCGCTGCAACAGTGGCGCTGGTGGTGCCGATGCTACTGCTGTCACTGCTGCTGGCAGCTATGCTGCTAGTGGCGCTGGAAATACTGCTGGTGGTGGCAACGGTGGCAGTGCCGCTCGTGCTGTTACTGCTGCTGTTACTGTCTTGCAAACCTCGAATCACCAAGTGCAGCGCCACTCCCCCTGGGGGCACTACCAGCGAGGAAGGGGAAGAGGCGGAGGAAGAAGAGGAGGAATCCGGGGGGTCAGGGAGGGGGAAGAGGAGGGGTCCCACTTGGAACCAAGGCAAGGCGCCGGACAAACTCGCTCTGCTCCCCCCACACGGCACGCCCACCCGCCACTCCGCCCACACCTGCTCCCCTGCTCCTCCTTCCCCCCCTCCCCCAGTTGTTCCATCTCCCCCTGCTGTGGCGGGGCCGGAAGCATTCAGCGGAACTGCCAGCAGCAGCACCTTCAACAGCCGCTCCGCCTCCCCTTCCGCGCCCTCTTCCCCTTCCGCGCACAGGCTGGCGCGCGCAAAGAACGAGAGGGACAGCTGGCGCGGGGACTGCTGCTGCTGCTGCTGCTGCGCCTGCTGCGACACATTGATGGTCGGCGCCGCGGCGGGTTTGAGTTCGCACAGCGCTTGCGCCACGCCTGGGCCGCCAAACGCGCTACCACTACTACTAGAGTTGCTACCATTGCTACTTCCAGAAGCGTCGTCGTCACTAAGCGACGCGGAAATAGCGGACGTCAGCCGTAAGAAACGGGACCCGTCAGCTGCCAGTAGGGTGTCCGTGACTCCCGTGACCCCATTATTTATTGACACGTCAGCAGCCGACGCCGCCCCCGCGGCTGTCGCGATCGCTTCCGCCAGTGTCGCACCGGCTGACGTAAGCAATGGTCCGAGTTTTGCGCCGCCAGATGCGGCGGTGGCTAAGAACTCGTCGGTTGAAATTGTTTCTCCAGGTTCCAAGGCGCGCCACGGGAATAAGTACGGCCATGGATCGCAGGATGCGTTCAGCTTCTTGCGACGCCATCCAGTGTCGAGACAGCTTGTATCGAAGCTAGGGTTCGAGAGGAGGTTTGACGATTCACCTGTGAGGGCAAAGAAGGGGGTATAATGGAAGAGAATTGGGGATTAATAGGGTAATTGATCGGATCATGGCAACGAAACCTTATAAGGTGCAGCTTCGCGAGTTTTTGAGACGTTGGCGGCAATAGGGAGGGCTTTGAACGAAAAAACGGGAGAAGCGAAATGCACGCCAACAAGTGACCGGAATGGGGAAGAAGGGGATAAAACCATCATAATGGCTGGAGGCATAAGGAACGAGTAAAAAACGGAAAGAGAGGGTGACGAAACGAGATTGAGTAGAGACCCCTCATTACAAGTGTGCTTACGACCTGACTTCTTAGTATAGCGACGACACGGACAACGGCGACGAAACAGTCAGCGGCGACGAAACAGTCAGCGGCGACGAAACAGTCAGCGGCGACGAAACCGTCAGCGGCGACGAAACAGTCAACGGCGGTGATACCAGGAACGGGAAAAGCGGAGCCTCTTACTTGGATCGGTAAGGTTATGGCAGTCGACGAGACTCGAATGCCTAGTATATCGACGAAACAGTCAACGGCGGTAATGCCTGGGAACGAGGAAAAGCGGAGCCTCTTACTTGGATTGGTAAGATTATGGCAGTCAACGAGACCATCAGCGACACGAACAAAGGCTACGACATGGAGGAGAAACGTAACCCGACGGAAAATCGCGACATGGAGAAGACACGTGGCTCCTGGTTGAACCCGCAATCTGCGGCGAGAGACGCGGCAGGAATCCATCGGCTCCGACGCGTTTCTGAGGATAACTTTTCCCAAACGGACTACTTTTTACGACTCGGGAAAATATATTTCCGCCACGTAGACCGCTTATCGGAAAGGTTGCACTCTGAAAGAGACTCGGACGTTCCGTCCCGGACTGACACTCGCCATTCTGAGTGGGCCTGTTCCGGCGAGCTACGCTATGGGTCCTAGTACTACAGAAAGCACAGCGACGGTAACGGCAGTCACGCACTGTTGACGAGAGCGCTACACTCATGCGGGCACGGCTGGAGCTTGTGCAGAGGGTGGAGGAGATGGGGAGTGTCTGTACACCCATAGCTTTGTAATCTCGAGAGTCCTTCGGTATCTTGGCCTCTGGTCACCTTAGGTCTATCTCGTGGTCTTGTACACGTGTACTGCACTGCCCACGAAGTTCAGGACGCGGTTAAATTGAAGAGATCGGAGGATCGTGAAATTCTCGAATCTCAAGATCGCTTTTGGGAATCGATCAGTGAAACAATCTGTTGTAACGATCGGAAGAATCTGACCGCTACGTTCCATTCCCGGGGATCACTTTGGCGCGCAGATGTCACCCACTTTGTAGAGTTTCGTAAAAGCATGAGTGCGAATTTTGAAGACTGTGCGATGAGTTTCGCCCGATTAGCGAAATCTTTTCAAGTCGCAAGCACCTGGATCAGTCGTCACTCTCATGCTCGATTCGTCGGCATTTGCTTCCCAGCTATGCCGCGATTGATTAACGATCAGTCGTCCTGTCGGTATGTATGTAAATTTTGAATAGGTTACTGTATCTAGAATACTCTTCCGAAAGCAGGGTAACTAATCAGCACATCGTTGTTAAGGACGATTGATGGGCTACTTTTGGATGCGTTCTGTAGGCGCATCAGCCAGATGCGCCTGAGGCTCGGCCTGATGCGGACATTGGGACATTCATACATTTTGGTTCGGATTGCTAAAATTCATATCTCTTACATTAAAATTTTAGACGACCAAAATGTTTTGGATTTCTTGGAAGATTACCGTAAGCCCCCGGATAGAAGCGCAGGCCTCGGATAAGCGCTGGCGCTTATAAAAGGATGGGGGCGCTTATATCCGGTCCTCGATTATAAGCACGCCCCTGAAGGCTTACGGATTATAAGCGCCACCCTCTTCTTTTTTATGATAGGTTTACTGAAATCGTTGTAACGAAACTCAATATTTTCATTCCCACATTTTGAATTTCGATGCCCCCTCACCCTCTCCCGGCTCACTGGCAACGCGTCCAGTCAGAATGAGCTGTCAAGGGCGCACGTTGACTCGTTCTGACTGTGTGTGTTGGCAGAGAATCAATCCCTGCCAACTTGCACGCGAGATTCTCAATCACAGCCTTGTACAGTATTGTTTCACATTCTGACTGTGTATGTTGGCAGGGAATCAATCCCTGCCAGCTTGCACGCGAGATTCTCAATCGAACCTTGTATAGTTTCGACTCGATTCAATTCGCAATAATGGGATCTACAGTTTGGTGGAAAAACGACGAATTTCATATATGCTATTATATAAGCACCGGCGCTTAAAAAAAATCCTCAATTATAAGCGCACCCCCTAAAAAAACGTGTTTTTTTATAACCCCAGGGGCGCTTCTATCCGGGGGCTGACGTTACCACGCGGAATTTTTTGGATGCCAACCAATGAGGGTGTTCGGAAAAAAACTTATTGGCCAATGGCGGTGCCCCGCAACAGCTGATGCGCGCATCATACGACTTCGAGCTGTTGCTATCGAAGTGAAAGGCCCCGCCCTCGTTTGGGCGCAAGCGTTATCTGCGATGACGTGGTGAATTCGACGAAGTGATCGTCGCATTGGATCAGCCCGTCCTCTGAAACCGCGGTGGATTTCCGAGGAGGTGGTCTTTTGATTCACCAGCCCATCAACGAGCTCTGGTCGACGGGGTGCTGTTCGACGAGCTCGTCCTCTGATCTGTTAGTGAGTCGCGCGATCTCTGACGGACGGGGTGCAGTCCGAAGAGCCTCCTTCTCTGATCGAAGGGCGCCGTTCGGCGAGCCTCGTCTCGGCGAATTGGTTGGCCGAATTCGCGTGACTGCGGAACTCTGCGAAGGCATGCGAAATTCGCTCAGGTGGTTCGTAGCGAAATTTCACATGCGGAATGGCATCACGTGCTCGGCGGTAGACATCTGACGAAACCGTCGGAACTTTTTCTACCTGGCACCTGCCCAATGTCTCTGACGGTGTAACCGTTTACCTGCGCCTACACGACAGATATAGACTTGCGCGAATATTCACCTGCGAATGCAGCACTGGCAGGCCGCCCTATTGCAGCGGTGACATGTCACCCTTGTGCTACGCTGGCAGGCCGCCCGCTTCAGCGTTGGCAAACCGCACTGATGCAGTGCTCGCAATTCGCCTTGCAGAATGCTTGCTAGGGATTCTAATGCCATTCTAGTGATATCACTTGCATGCTCTTCTTTGTACTCTAATTCTCAACTTTCAATGTTCTTTCAATTTCCTTGGTGGAAACTCTCGCCGAATTTCTCAGTGAACAGAGCAAGTAGTGAGAACTGTGTTAGAATGCTACTAGAATGCTTCGATCACCCACACAACTGTCAAACTCATATGTTATAGTCTGTGTAGGCTGTAGTGGGGTAGACAATATGGGGTACAACACTTTTAGGTTTCCCTACTTGTACCCACATGTTTGCTAGTTCATTCCCCCCTCGTTCTTTCACATGGTATAGAGCAGGTTCCCTAGTGGGAACGTTTCCTAGGGCCTACTGAATATCGATTTTTTTTTACCTGCCCGGAGCGCGCTTCGCCCCTGCCCGAGTCGCACCCCGTGTGCCTACCCTCCCGTCGCGTCCCCTGCCCTTGGTGGCCCGTCGCGCTCCCTTACGGCCCTGTAGCGGCCCCTCTCACAGCCCTTCGCGGCCCATTCAGGCCCCTCGTGGCCACTTCACGGCCTCCCTTCGCGGCCCCTTCGCGGCCCCTTCACGGCCCCTTCGCGGCACCTTCGCGGCCCCTTCGCAACCCCCTCACGGCCCCTTAGCGGCCCCTTCACGGCCCCTTCGCGGCACCTTCGCGGCCCCTTCGCGGCCCCTTCACGGCCACTTCGCGGCCCCTTCACGGCCACTTCGCGGCACCTTCACGGCCCCCTCGCGGCCCCTTCGCGGCCCCTTCGCGGCCCCTTCACGGCCCCTTTGCGGCCCCCCTCGCGGCCCCTTCACGGCCCCCTCGCGGCCCCCTCGCCGCTCCCTTCGCGGCCCCTTCGCGGCCCCGCCCCGCTGCCCGTAGCGGCCCCGCCCCGTCGCCAGTCGCGGCTCCGCCATGTCGCCCCCGCCTCGTCGCGACGCCCCTACGGGACCCGCGAGGCGCGTCTCCTATAAGTCGCGACGCCCCTGCGGGACCTGCGTGGCGTCACCCCTGCCCGCCGCAGCGCCCTGCCCTAACCCGCGCCCTAGAGCAGCCGCCACTCCAGCAGCCGCCCCTGGAGTAGCAGGTACTGCAGCAGCGGCCCTTGGAGTAGCAGCTACTGCAGCAGCCACCCCTGGAGCAGCCACCCCTGCAGTAGCTGCCCCTAGAGCAACCGCCCTTGCAGCAGCCGCCCCTAGAGGAGCCGCCCCTGCAGCAGCCGCCCCTGCAGCAGGCGCCCCTGGAGCAGGCGCCCCTGCAGCAGCCGCCCCTGCAGCGGCCGCCACTGCAGCAGCCGCCCCTGGAGCAGCCGCCCCTAAAACTGCCGCCCCTGGAGCAGCCGCCCCTGCAGCTACCGCGCAGCCCTCGCCCTACAGTGGTAGCGGCCTTGCCGTTGCCGTCGTCATCCGCCTGCCCTTCTCGCCACTAATGAGCACTGCCCAGCCCGTACCGCTGTTACTGCTGCTCTTGCTGCTACTGCTCTTTCTTCTACTACTACTGCTCCTGGTGTGGCCAGAAGCAGCTCCAGCGCCGTCCGCGTGAGTCCCTCACCCCCCAATAGCTTCGTGAGTGGTACGCTAGTTGGGGTTATAGGGGTGGCCGCGCTGCGACTACTGCTTTTGCTACTACTGCTGCTAATTCGGCTACCACTGCTCCTACTGCTCCTGGCGGTGGCCAGATGCAGCTCCAGCGACGTCCGCGTGAGTCCCTCACGCCCCAGCAGCTTCGCGAGTGGTACGCTACTAGGGGTTGTCGGGGTGGCCGTAGTGGGAGTCGTCCTGGAGTGAGTAGTTCGGCAGCTGCTTGTAGTGGCCAAGTGCAGCTGCAGCGTCGTCCGTGCGCGGTAATTTCGCCCCAGCAGCTTCGTGAGTGGTACGCTCAGCGTGGCGGGTCACGGGGTACTGCTCGTTGTCCGTACGTCATTCGCATTGGTGCTCGGACTAGTCAGCCTTGCGGGACGTTTGGTCACACAGAGTCCCGCTGCTTCGCCTGTCTGAGTGACGCCTGCGTACGGAGTTTAGCGACGCGGCTGAGCTCCCTGACTAGGTGGAGCTGCTTAGGCTGCGGGTAGATATCTATACTCTTGACTATGATGCTATCCTCACTGCCATGTATGCATTGCCTACTAGTGATGAGGGTGACTGTTACCTGTGTGTTCCGCCTGACCCGGGCATTGAGGCTGCTGCTCTAGGTGCTGGTGAGGCTACTGCTCTAGGTGCTAGTGCGTCTACTGCCCCAGGTGCTGGTGAGTCTGCTCTCTCAGGTATCACGTCGGCTTAGACCTTACACACCTTCACCCTTCACTCGGGTGCTTCCCGCTCCTTCTTTCGAGACCGCACCCCGTCGGCCAGTTCCGGTCTCCCTGGCGGACCCCTCTGGGGGTCCTGTCCTTGCTCGCTTCTCCATTGTCTTATTGTGTTAGGCAACCCTCTCTGGCACTCTGTCAAGTCTCTACCTCCCCTCATTCTCAACAAACTTGGTGAGTGGTGCTGACCTACAGGATGGAGGGGTTGACCAGTTCACTCCTGCGGGTCAGCGCGTGACCCAGTGTATGTGTGCTCGGACGTGCCGACACTTGGCCATGTCTACCTGTCGGCCG